ATAATTTGAAGCATGTGATAGAGAAGACTCATATTCTTCGTCTTGTCACGTCTCGTTCCTTACCCAACCCTCTAAGTTTCCAATGACCAAAACTCCATAAACATCGGCATCCAAGTTGTGCTGGGATGGTTGGCACATACCTGAACAAAGCTCGGCCGGGCACGGCGACCCAGACCAAAATTTACCTTGAAAATTCATCTGTAGCTTTTGAAAGAGCTTTGATAACTGGAAGAGAATTCTCGAAAGGAGTTGAAGCATTAAAAAACTAATTTTCAAGTTAAAACCATAACCGGGAGGCAGGAGCTTAGCAAACCAAAACTTCGAGCTAGCTTTTGTTTTGAAAGCCTCATAATAAAGTTTTATGTATCTCAGGATGAGGTCATTGCACTTTGATTTTAACCCCCCAGTCTATTGAATTTTCAACATTTGCAATGTTTTGATCGGAGTTCAGCAAATTTTTGTAGAAAATACAGACATGACCGGCATGTGTCATAGAGTCTAAGTGGATACCGCATGTTAATTTTCTTTTCACTTTGAGCTGACTTGGACTGAACGCTAATGTCGCGTGATTGTCATGTAAGCAATTTATCAAGAAATTATTCAAATTTTAATGAGAGTACGTTAACTGCAAAGGAATATTAATTCAGTTTATACAATTAATGGATTTAGGTCCACTAATATGCATGACTAATTGTAAAATCTATTGAAGTTTACTAACTAAAAAGTGGAATTTACTCTTCATAAGTGGACACACTCAAATGTGGTCCATCCTTGCAAGTGAAGCCGGATAGATCGCAATCGTTAATTATGTGAGCCCATAATTATGTGAGCCCACGCACGCGAGTCTCACTCAATCAATGGTTATAATTGCGCCCCGGTCCTAGGAATTTCTCCTTGTACACACTACATGCAAACAGAAGACCATGCCTAATTCTGACCTCCGGGTGACTCCTCAAAATTGCAAACTTTGACGTTCGTGCCATCCCTCACCGATGTCACTCAAACGGAGTTCTCTTCTCCTGCTTCTCTCGGTCACCCTCACACCTTCTATTCTCGAAGTTCTAGGCTTCTAGCTCATAAATATTGCGGTGCAGTTGGATCTGAGTGTACCCTTTTTCTTGCCCCAATTGAAAGATCTATACATACGGAAGTTCTCCGTTTTGTTTCCGTTGACGTTTCTTGATTTGGTAACGAAGGCATTGGGTTTTCAAATTGGGTTGGAAATCAGTTTTTATTTTCTTTTTCTACGTAACTCTGGCGAAGAAGAAGGAGAAAAAGTTCACTTTACCAAAAAAAAAAGAAGGAGAAAGTTCGTGAATTGGGTTTATTATTCTTAGAGTAGATAGAAGTTTGTGATTAGGGTGTTGGAGGAGCCAAATCTAAGGTCTTTACATAGTTTGGAATTGATACTTTGGTGGGCTCTTTAGGCTGAAGAGATTAAACGGGGTGGAAGCAATGTAATCATTTTATAATTGTGTTTTTCGTTTTTATATCATCGCATCTTGGTCAATGGTATTGTAGAAAATTTCCCGTTGTAATTTTGTTATACCCATGCAAGTATTTCTCCTTTGTATGAACATTACGTAAATTTCACTTGAATTTATCAAACGCGATATCCCATACGCGATAAATCGAGTTTGTTTGGAGTAATTTTTACTTTTAACTTTTCATTTTCCTCAACTTCTGTGGTGAACGTAGTTGGATTGTTTTCTAATTTTAGAATTTCACAATACATAAACATTTATAGATTTTGCAATTCTTTTAAAAATTTAGATAATTTTATGAATTTTTAAAAGTCCAAACAAACCCGCCCTAAACTTACATGGGCCAAACTGACGGAAATCCGGTCAATGTAATAACGAGACGCTCTACGGCCCAAGCTCGAAGATATGCTCAGAATATTTCCAAAGACTTTTGTCTGGCGAGAGAGAGATTGAGCTTGAGCTTTTTTATTTATTTTTCTTTTATTTGTTTTTCTCTTTTTTGTCTTTTTCTTTTTCTTTTTTCCTTCTCTTCCTTCTTCCTCCAACCAGTCCACTAAAAGAAAGAAAATAAAAAAAAAAGAAAAAAAAATAAATTGAAAATATTAAAATATTAAAATACTAAAAGTTGTCCACATCAATACCGCCCCGTCCGCACCAGCCGTGCCACGTAGGCCGTCCGGCGTCTACGTCAATAATATCTGGCTAAAATTAGGCGAAAGGACTGAATTAGCACGGCGTCAAAATGTTTGGAACTAAATTGATACCACAAAAAAATTTAGGATTAAATTGATAGAAAAATAATAAATTTGGGACTTTTTCCGACACTTCTTCCCTTGTCATCAATCTTCGGTTTTTTTTCCAAAGTGGGGGGACTTTGGGTTTTGGGGGCATTGGTTGACTTGAAGTCAACATCTGGAAAGCCATCTAGTCATCCATCCCTTAATACACGCACTTGTGCAGAGTCTAACTCTATTTGGCCAGCGTTGGACTTTCCCTTTTTTCAGGTTCTTGACCAACTTCAATCAGCAAAGTAGATTCCGTGTATTTTAAGACAGTATTGCACCCAATGAAAATCCAAGTTGAGGACTTCCATTCTTATCTTGATTCCAACGCGGTGACAATCTTTATTCTTGATCGTGACACTGACGCGGATGCAATTTCCATATTTTTTCCGCATACTTTGTTTGGGTCGGATTTTATTTACCGGTTCAAATTCGAGACATATTTTTTCTCTGTATTTCCTTTATCTTGTTGCTTCTCCATGTCTATGATACACCGACTTTCATCTATATCCTCCCTAACCGCTGCCCAATAAAATTATATATTGATGATCCGTACCCCTAATTTCATTTGCACTATGATCTAAATGTGTGGCAGAATATGTAATTATGTGCCATGTCCCAAGAGAAGGCAATGTCTATAGTTGCGGCATTCTCTTGCTAGAGATGTTCACGGGATTGTATGCCACCGATGACACGTCGAGAGATAATTTGACTCTTTATAGTTTTGTTGCGGTAGTTTTGCCTGAATGGGTGCAGGAAATGATGGACCATATCCTGCGTCAAGACAAAGAGAGAGTCATTTAGACCCCAATAGTCCTCAGCGTCCGCGCTCCGAAAGTTACGGTGAGGGCCGTGATGCACGGGTCTCGAGCATTGCTATGATGTTTCCGAGTCAATCTTAGTCATAAAGTTCTTTTGTTGGTATTCATACCGATCTAGAAGAAAAAAATCAATCAATCATGGCCTATGGGAAATCTTAGAGTAATATCCACGATAGAGCTTCTTCTTGTATAAATAGTTGTTCTCAGATTTTCCTTGATCTCACTTTAGTAATTGTGTAAATATTTAACAAAAAGAAAAGAAGTGACATTGCGTGGGGTTTCACTCTTGTTGAAATCCTAACTAGTCTCCTTTCTTATTGGACAATTATATGTCATGCAAAGAAAAGACTATATGCCTGATTCTGACCTCTGGGTGACTCCTCAAAACTGCAAACTTTGACGTTCTTGCCATCCCTCATCAATGTCACTCAAACGGAGTTCTCTTCTCCTGCTTCTCTCGGTCACCCTCGCGCCTTCCATTCCCCAAGTTCTACGCTTCTGGCTCATAAATATTGCGGTGCGGTTGGATCTGAGTGTGCCCTTTTTCTTGCCCCAATTGAAAGTTCTATACATTATGAGATTTTGTGAGATCATTGCTAACTGTTTTAAAAACTTAAATTGTTAGATGAAAGCGTGGTTCAATAGTTAATTACTCTAACATACATACGGAAGTTCTCTATTTTGTTTCTGTTGACATTTCTTGATTTGGTAACAGAGGCATTGGGTTTTCAAATTGAGTCGGAAATCAGTTTTTATTTTCTTTTTCTTTGTAAATCAGGCAAAGAAGAAGGACAAAGTTCATGAATTGTGGACGTGGGCACCGGCCGGCCTACGTGACACGGTCAGCGTTGACGTGGATAATTTTTAATAATATTTTAATATTTTTCCAATTTTTTTCCTTTTTTCTCTTTTCTTTCTTTTTCTTGTTTTCCCTTCCTTTCCTTCTTCCTCCGGCTGATCCAGGGCAAGCGAGGTCGACCTCGTTGGCCACTAGCAAGGCTCGAGCCTCACCAGCCTAGCGCAAGGCCGCCCTTACGGCCATCTAGCAAGGGTGAGCCTTGCCATTGGCAGGCGAGGTCGACCTCGCCGTCCCTGGCCCTAGCCTTTGGCCAGATGCTGAGGTCCGACGATCGGTTGGTGAAAGAAGGAAGGGAAGGAAAAAAAATAATTCTAAATATATTATTAAAAGTTATTTATGTTAGCGCCAGTCGTGCAATGTAGACCGACTGGCATCATAGTCAGCGATATCTAGCCAAAATTAGATAAAAGGACTTAATTGACACGACGTCAAGATGTTTATGACTAAATTGACGCAAATATAATAAATTTAGGACTTTTTTTTTTGACAATTTTCCTCTTCTCATCAGTCTTCGGTTTATTTTCCAAAGTGGGGGGACTTTGGGTTTTTGGGGCATTGGTTGACTTGAAGTCGACATCTGGAAAGCCATCTAGATGGATCCATCATCCATCCCTTAATACACGCACTTGTATGGACACACGTCAAAGGGAACCATCAGTGACCGACTTCAACATGGACAAAAGAATTCCGTGTACAGAGTCTAACTCCCATTTGGCCAGCGTTGGACTTTTCCTTTTTTCAGTTTCTTGACGAACTTCACTCAGCAAAGTAGATTCCGTGTATTTTAAGACAGTATTGCACCCAGTGAAAATCCAAGTAAGGACTTCCATTCTTATCTTAATTCCAACGCGGTGACAATCTTTATTCTTGATCGTGACACTGACGCGGATGCAATTTCCATATTTTTCGGCATGCTTTATTTGGGTTGGATTTTATAAATCTCTTATAAATCTCTTCACAGTTTCCATTAGCACCAATCCTGTCTCTCGCTTCTTCTTGCCTTGCTTTCATATTTACCTGCTTCCTTGGTCTTTGAATCATGAAACTCGTAAGCATGTGTATAACAGAGTTTCAATCATGCCATTTGCTTGTTGGTATTGCTCTTGCATTCTGCTTTAACCAAGTCTGGTCCACCACCAATGAAACAGATAGACTCGCACTGCTCGCATTTAAGGTTGGCATAGCCGGAGATCCTGTCGGCGTGCTCAACACATGGAACAATAGCATTGGGTTTTGCCGGTGGTATGGCGTTACGTGTGGCCGGAGGCACCAAAGGGTCACGGTTTTGGATTTGTCATCACAAGGACTCACCGGATTAATATCTCCTCATATCGGGAATTTGAGCTTCGTAAGGGAAATTCGGCTCCAAAACAACAGTCTCGATCACGAAATCCCTTTGCAAGTCGGCCTGTTGCGCCGCCTTCGTGTCTTAGCACTACACAACAATTCATTGGTCGGTGAAATACCCAAAAACATATCCGCTTGCTCTAACCTTGTTGGACTCAATCTTGGAGTCAACCAACTAACTGGAGAGATTCCTGGAGAGCTTGGTTCACTGTCGAACCTACGGACGGTCACTTTGCGCGTTAATAGTTTGACTGGGAGTGTGCCTTCCTCCATTGGGAACTTATCTTCACTGGAGTTCCTTGAATTGTCCACGAACAACTTGGGCGGGAGCATTCCCCAAGTTCTAGGCCACCTGACAAACTTGCAATGGATTAACCTGGGAACAAACAAATTGTCAGGTACAATTCCATCTTCGCTACTCAATCTCTCTTCGCTCGCTGTCTTTAATGTTGGAGACAATCGGATACATGGGACTCTTCCTGCAGGAATATGCCTCAAACTCCTAGACCTTGATTTTTTAAGTGTTTTCATGAACCAAATTGAGGGGTCGATTCCTCCATCGGTATCAAATTGCACGAAGCTAGTAGTGCTTCAACTTGATATGAACAAATTTTCCGGGAAAGTACCTTCTTTGGAAAATTTGTATAAGCTTCGTTGGTTTCGCATCTATAAAAATCAGCTTGGAAGGGGAAAACCTGAAGACTTGAGCTTCCTTTGCTCGTTAACTAACAGCACCAAGTTAGACGACGTGAGTATTCACCGGAACGAGTTTGGTGGGGTATTACCTAAATGCATAGGTAATTTATCCACCACTCTCACAACATTTTCTGTAACGGGCAATCAAATATTTGGTGAAATTCCAAAAGAAATCGGGAATTTGGTCAACCTGGAAATGTTGTTTATGAATCTCAATCAACTTTCAGGTGCTGTCCCCTCAAATTTGGGGAATCTACAAAATCTAGCGAAACTTGAGCTAGGTGATAACAACTTGGCAGGGACTATACCATCATCTCTGGGAAATCTAACCAAGTTGATTATACTAGACCTTTCTGGGAACAACTTTCACGGGACAATTCCGTTGCACCTATCTTACTGCCGGTCTCTTCAATGGCTCGATCTGTCAAATAGTAATCTCAGTGGTGCTATACCCCCACAACTCTTCGGTCTCTCGTCATTAGCGATCATTTTGGACTTGTCTCATAACCATCTAACTGGGGTTCTACCCACAGAAGTTGGCAACTTGAGAACTTTGACTGCGTTGGACATCTCGAACAATTTGTTGGTTGGTGAAATCCCAAGTAGTTTAGGTGACTGCACTTGATTGACATCGCTAAAGTTGGGGGGCAACTTCTTCCATGGGTCAATTCCGCAATCAATCAAATCGTTAGGAGGCATTGAAGAACTAGATCTGTCATGCAACAATTTGTCGGGTCAGATTCCAGAATTCTTATCGGTATTTCGTTCCTTAAAACATTTGAATTTATCGTACAACAAGTTTGAAGGCACGCTACCACGTGAAGGAGTCTTTAAGAATGCTACCGCTACTTCTATTATTGGGAACAATGAGCTTTGCGGTGGACTGCCAGAATTCAACCTCCACAGCTGCATCTCCAAAAGCTCCAAGAGCGGAAAGATCAATGTAGTGATATTGTTCACTTCTATTATATTCGGAGTTCTTTTAGTAGTTGTTATTCTTGCTTTTATACATAATTTTTGGTCAAAGAAGAAATTAAATGAACCGGTTTCTGGTTCAATGGATGATTCACCTCCGAACATATCTTATGGAGCACTCCTAAAAGCAACCAACAATTTTTCTTCAACGAATTTGATCGGAGTTGGAAGCTTTGGTTCTGTTTATAGGGGTATACTCAAGGATAATGGGATTGCTGTTGCTGTGAAGGTGCTTGATTTAGTTCGTCACGGTGCACTTAAGAGCTTCATAGTTGAGTGTAAGGCATTAAAGAACATCAGACATCGAAATCTTTTGAAGATATTGACAATTTGCTCGGGTACTGATTATCAAGGAAATGATTTTAAAGCCATAGTATATGACTTCATGAACAATGGAAGCCTGGAACGGTGGCTACACCCAAACTCAACCTCATCTCATGGGATTGAGCTTCGGAAAAAGTTGAATTTCGTGAGGAGGATAAACATTGCTACTAGTGTTGCTTATGCACTGGACTATCTTCATCACCAGTGCCACATTCCCATTATTCATTGTGATCTAAAGCCAAGCAATATCCTCTTGGATGATGAGATGGTCGCGCATGTGAGCGATTTTGGATTGGCTAAGTTCCTCCTTGGATCATCCCTCGATACCGTAGCTAATCATATGAGCTCTATGGGTTTGAGAGGGACAATTGGTTATGCTCCACCGGGTAATCTCTCTAGTTTTTCTAATGATTTGAGCTCTACATTCTTTTTGATGATAAGCACTCCTAATATCATCTGCACTATGATCTAAATGTGTGGTAGAATATGCAATGGGATGCGAGGTCTCAAGAGAAGGCGATGTCTATAGTTACGGCATCCTCTTACTAGAGATGTTCACAGGATTGAGTCCCACTGATGACAAATTCGGGGACAATTTGACTCTGCATAGTTTTGTTGCGGAAGCTTTGCCTGAACGAGCCTTGGAAGTTACAGATCACATTCTGCTTTCGGAAAGAGGGAGTCCCCTTGACCCCAATAGTCCTCAGCATTGTCTTTCGGAAAGCAATGTCATATTTCAAGAGTGTTTGGTTATGGTATATAATATTGGAGTCACTTGCTCCAATGAAGTGCCTGGAAGTCGGATGAGCATCAGCAGTGTTGCAAATCAACTGCAAAAGATTAGGGAAACGCTATTTGCATTGGGTTTACATGAACAAGATGAACTACCGCAGGTGACATGATAATTTCTTAACCTCTCTTTTGTCCTAAATATTTAGTTTTGCATATGCTAGTGCAAACGGACATGTTAATCGATCATGCATTTTCATTAGAAGGCAATAGTTGATTGTCATTTCTCACCTGTATGTGTATCAAGCTAGCATGTGCGCTGCAGTGCAGGGACCTTTTAGTAATATCTGTTAAAATTTGTCTCGAGTTTGAGAACATAGATGAAATCCGACCCGAATCGAAGCGCAGGATAGTCGGGCCACATAAAGGTTGTCCGAATTGGACTTTGAAAATGTATAACTGGAGAGAAGCAGTCGTTTCTGTTAGGAGATAATAGTTGATTACCATTCCTCATCTGCACAGATTACTGCACTAGCGTATCGCCCATGATGCAGAGTCTTGAGAATTGTTATGATATTTTAGAAGATCAGTCTCAAATATTCAGTTCTTTTATGGGTATGAAGCTCATTTAGACGACTACAAATTAATCAACTATCGGCTATTTTCAGTTGATATCCATAATCAAGCCTTTTCAACGTATGAATAGTTGTCCTCTGAAGTTTACATGACGCAGTAACGGTGTGCGGAAGTTGATTCACATTAATCTTACATGTCTCCTTTTTTATTGAAAATTTATGTTTTTCCCCTAGCAAATCCTAGCTTTTGTCCAGGCTTTCTAACTCAGAGAAGTGCTTGGTTTCTTTCTACAGCTTCACTAGGAATCGCTATGCGTCGCGGAAGCTGCGCGAGACAGTTCGAGATGAGTGATGTTGCAGTCAAGCCAAGTATCTCTTTCAGCTTCAACCTAAATAGGCAAATGCTCTGTTTGGGAACAAAAAAAAATGACAGTTTGGAGAAGAAAAGACTTTCAGATTCAGCTTCCTCGTATGCGTTAAATCGAGAAACAGATCTGGGCGATTGATATGTGAAGCAGGAACTTCGCAATAATGTTTTAGCATAACTAGTCTATCCCAATTCTGATCATGCAACTTGTGCTATTCGTGTTTTTTCTGATGGGGAATGGATCTGCAGAGCTGCTATTTCTACAGTACGCCACTTTGATTAATCTTCTTTTGCCAAAATTTTTCCTTCTCTCGTTCATTCATTTCTTATCACGATAGAACTTGTTTGATGAATTACAAACTGTGTTGCCAGTGTCTAATAAAAATTATAGCCAAACAGAAATCACCGAAACATATGATCGTGTCCTCATCGTCTTAAGACCAGAACAAACTTTAGGCGTTTCATCATGACGATGGAAATAATTTGAAGCATGTGATATCAATAGCAATGCTCTCACTCTCTGAAGAGCAGCCTCATATTCTTCGTCTTGTCACGTTCCTCGTTCCTTACTCAACCCTCTAAGTTTCCAATGACCAAAACTCCATAAACATCGGCATCCAAGTTGTGCTGGGATGGTTGGCACATACCTGAACAAAGCTCGGCCGGTTGCGGCGACCCAGACCAAAATTTACCTTGAAAATTCATCTGTAGCTTTTGAAAGAGCTTTGATAACTGGAAGAGAATTCTCGAAACGAGTTGAAGCATTAAAAAACTAGTTTTCAAGTTAAAACCATAACCCGTGAGGCAGGAGCTTAGCAAACCAACTTCGAGCTAGCTTTTGTTTTGAAAGCCTCATAATAAAGTTTTATGTATCTCAGGATGAGGTCATTGCACTTTGATTTTAACCCCCAGTCTATTGAATTTTCAACATTTGCAATTAATGTGTTTTGATCGGAGTTCAGCAAATTTTTGTAGAAAATACAGACAAGACCGGCATATGTCATAGAGTCTGAGTGGATGCCCCATGTTAATTTTCTTTTCACTTTGAGCTGACTTCGACTGTATGCTAATGTCGTGTGATTGTCGCGTGAGCAATTTATCAAGAAATTATTCAAATTTTAATGAGAGTACGTTAACTGCAAAGGAATATTAATTCAGTTTATACACTAACGGATTTAGGTCCACTAATATGCATGACTAATTGTAAAATCTATTGAAGTTTGCTGACTAAAAAATGGAATTTACTCTTCATAAGTGGACACACTCAAATGTGGTCCATCCTTGCGAGTGAAGCCGGATAGATCGCAATCGTTAATTATGTGAGCCCACACATGCGAGTCTCACTCAATCAACGGTTATAATTGCGCCCCGGTCCCATGAATTTCTCCTTGTACACACTATATGCAAAGAGAAGATCATATGCCTGATTCTGACCTCCGGGTGACTCCTCAAAACTGCAAACTTTGACATTCGTGCCATCCCTCACCGATGTCACTCAAACGGAGTTCTCTTCTCCTGCTTCTCTCGGTCACCGTCGCGCCTTCCGTTACCCAAGTTCTAGGCTTCTAGCTCATAAATATTGCGGTGCGGTTGGATCTGAGTGTGCCCTTTTTCTTTGCCCCAATTGAAAGGTCTATACATACGGAAGTTCTCCGTTTTCTTTCCGTTGACGTTTCTTGATTTGGTAACGAAGGCATTGGGTTTTCAAATTGGGTTGGAAATCAGTTTTTATTTTCTTTTTCTATGTAACTCTGGCGAAGAAGAAGGAGAAAGTTCGTGAATTGGGTTTATTATTCTTAGAGTAGATAGAAGTTTGTGATTAGGGTGTTGGAGGAGCCAAATCTGAGGTCTTTACATAGTTTGGAATTGATACTTTGGTGGGCTCTTTAGGCTGAAGAGATTAAACGGGGTGGAAACAATATAATCATTTTATAATTGTGTTTTTGGTTTTTATATCATCGCATCTTGGTCAATGGTATTGTAGAAAATTTCCTGTTGTAGTTTTGTTATACACATGCAAGTATTTCTCCTTTGTATGAACATTACGTAAATTTCACTTGAATTTATCAAACGCTATATCTCATACACGATAAATCGAGTTTGTTTGGAGTAATTTTTACTTTTAACTTTTCATTTTCCTCAACTTCTGTGGTGCACGTAGTTGGATTGTTTTCTAATTTTAGAATTTCACAATACATAAACATTTATAGATTTTGCAATTCTTTTAAAAATTTAGATAATTTTATGAATTTTTAAAAGTCCAAACAAACCAGCCCTAAACTTACAAGGGCCGAACTGACTGGAATCCGGTCAATGTAATAACGAGACGTTCTACGGCCCAAGCTCGAAGATATGCTCAGAATATTTCCAAAGACTTTTGTCTGGCTATAGAGAGAGAGAGAGAGAGAGAGAGAGAGAGAGAGAGAGATCGAGCTTGCGTTTATTTATTTACTTTTCTTTTTTTCCCTTTTCTTTCTTTTTCTTTTTCTTTTTTCCTTCCCTTCCTTCTTCCTCCGGCCAGTCCACTAAAAGAAAGAAAAGAAAAGAAAATAAATAAATAAATAATTTGAAAAATATTAAAATATTAAAAGTTGTCCACGTCAGCGCCGGCCAGTCCGTACCGGCTGTGCCACGTAGGCCGGCCGGCATCCACGTCAATAATATCCGATCACAATTAGCCGAAAGAACTGAATTGGCACTGCATCAAAATGTTTTGAACTAAATTGATATCACTAAAAAATTTAAGACTAAATTGACACAAACACAATAAATTTAGGACTTTTTCCGACACTTCTTCCCTTATCATCAATCTTCGGTTTTTTTTCCAAAGTGGGGGGACTTTGGGTTTTGGGGGCATTGGTTGACTCGAAGTCAACATCTGGAGAGCCATCTAGTCATCCATCCGTTAATACACGCACTTGTATAGACACATGTCAAAGGGAACCATCAGTGACCGACTTCAACATGGACAAATCAATTCCGTGTACAGAGGGTCTTAACTCCTATTTGGCCAGCGTTGGACTTTCCCTTGTTTTAGTTTCTTAACCAACTTCAATCAGGGAAGTAGATTCCGTGTACTTTAAGACAGTATTGCACCCAATGAAAATCCAAGTAAGGACTTCCATTCTTATCTTGATTCCAACGCGGTGACAATCTTTATTCTTGATCGTGACTTCGACGCGGATACAATTTCCGTATTTTTTCGCATACTTTATTTGGGTTGGGTTTTATTTACCAGTTCAAATTCAAGACATATTCTTTCTTTGTGTTTCCTTCATCTTATTGTTTTCTTTGTGTCTATGATACACCGACTTCATCTATATCCTCTCTAACCGCTGCCCAATAAAATTATATTTTGATGATCCGCACCCCTAATTTCATATACACTATGGTCTAAATGTGTGGCAGAATACACCATTAGGTGTGAGGTCCCAAGAGAAGGCAATGTCTATAGTTACGTCATTCTCTTGCTAGAGATGTTCACGGGATTGTATGCCACTGATGACACGTTGAGAGACAATTTGACTCTTTATAGTTTTGTTGCGGTAGTTTTGCCTGAGTGCAGGAAATGATGGACCATATCCTGCGTCAAGACAAAGAGAGTCATTTAGACCCCAATAGTCCTCAGTGTCCGCGCTCTGAAAGTTACGGTGAGGCCCGTGATGCACGGGTCTCGAGCATTGCTATGATGTTTCCGAGTCAATCTTAGTCATAATGTTCTTTTGTTGGTATTGATACCGATCTAGAAGAAAAAAATCAATCAATCATGGCCTATGGGAAATCTTAGAGTAATATCCACGATACAGCTTCTTCATGTATAAATAGTTGTTCTCAGATTTTCCTTGATATCACTTTAGTAATTGTGTAAATATTTAACAAAAAGAAAAGAAGTGACATTGCGTGGGGTTTCACTCTTGTTGAAATCCTAACTAGTCTCCTTTCTTCTTGGACAATTATATGTCACGCTTTCTTGTTCAGTCAGGCACAGGCAATACTGGTGTGTGAATAAGGATGTATACCTTTCGAATTCAGCATTCTAACATGCGGCAATTCGAGGACACGTATCGACACTTGATGAGCATAGTATGAATTGTCCAAGAATGCTTTAGTAGAATAAGGTACCTTGTGTGTATTGGAATTTTTTAGGGGTGCAAGTGCAAATTCTTCATCACTGCTATTTCTGAAGTTTACTACTGTCATCAACTTTTATTTTTGCATTTTGGTAAAGTTACTAAATCGCCTCTTTTCTTCTTGTGGAAAGCACCAAAGCACGTATGCATAAAACTTATTATGGACATATCGATGGTCACTTTTTCATTTGGGGATTCGTTGATCACATGGATAAGGAACTTTCAAAGGTAGAAAGTACTAACTAAATCAATAATTTACTGGCCACCAATATACTAAAACTTACTTCTCTAAAGAAAAAGTAATCATTAGCGTGGGGAAGTAACTAAGTTAAAATAGTTGGGAAGGAAAGTCACTTTTCATAGAGACAAAATTAGTAATAAGTTATATGCGTGCACCTTTTCTGCCAAAGTGGCACTTTGAAATGATTTTAATTGATTAAGGTGTTGTTAGTCAAAAGATCTTTATTACCGACAATGACCAGCTTAATCAATAAGGCTTCCTCATCGGTCTCCGCTTTATTTTCCAAAGCGGGGGACTTTAGGATTTTGGGGGCAACGGTTCACTTTAGGACTTTAGGATTTTTCGTGGTAAAATTCGTCGCAAAACCCTTGTTTTTTTATAGTCTCGAAGTTAACATCTGGAAAGTCATCTAGATGGATCCATCATCCATCCCTTAATATACGCACTTGTTTAAAGACAAGTCAAACGGAACCATCAGTGACCGACTTCCACATGGAGAATATAATTCCATGTACAGAGTCAACTGCTATTTGGCCAGCGCTGGACTTTCCCATCTTTTTAGTTTCTTGGCCAACTTCAATCAGGCGAGTGGATTCCGTGTATTTTAAGACAATCTTGCACACAGTGAAAATCCAAGTAAGGACTTCCATTCTTGATCTTGATTCCCACACGGAGACACTCTTTATTCTTGATCATGACTTTGACGCAGATACAATTTTTTCTGCATACTTTATTAGATCGGGTTTTATTCACGGGCTCAAACTCGAGACATATTTTAACACTCTCTCTATATTTCCTTTATCTTGTTGCTTTCTCTGTGTATATGATAAACTGACTTCATCTATATCCTCCCTAACCGTGCCCAAGATAATTATTTTTTGATGATCGACACCCCTAATTTCATCTGCTCTATGATCTAAATGTGAGGCAGAATATGCAATAAGGTGAGAGGTCCTACGATTAGGCAATGTCTATAGTTACGGCATTCTCTTGCTAGAGATGTTCATAGGATTGTATGCCACTGATGACGCATTGAGAGATAATTTGACTCTTCATAGTTTTGTTGTAGCAGTTTTGCTTGAATGAGTGTAGGAAATGATGGACCATATTCTGCGTCAAGACAAAGAGAGAGTCATTTAGGCCCCAATAGTCCTCAGCGTTGGCGCTCCGAAAGTAACGCTCCGAAAGTTACGGTGAGGCCGGTGATGCACGGATCTTGAGCATTGCTATGATGTTTCCGAGTCAATCTTAGTCATAAAGTTCTTTTGTTGGTAGTGATACCGATTTAGAAGAAAAAATCAACCAACCGTGGCCTATGGCAATTCTTAAAGTAATATCCACGATAAAGCTTCTTCACTGTATAAGTAATTGTTCTTAGATTTTCCTTGATCTCACTATAGTAATTGCGCAAACATCTTACAAAAAGAAAAGAAGTGACATTGTGTGGGGTTTCGTTCTTGTCAACTCCTAACTAGTCTCTTTTTTTTTATCGGAAATTTTTATATTTCATGCTTTCTTGTTCAGAGGTTTCCTAAATCAGAGGAGAATTTGGTTTCTGCAGCTTGACTTGGAATTGCTCTCCAATGTCCATCCCCAATTTGATGTACGAAATAATTAAATATCGGTAAATGTTGCAGCAAAGCAAAGTTAATTCAGTTACAAGCTTCCTAAATGAGCAATGTTTATCTATTTTGGGACACAGATACGACAGTCTGGAATAAGAAATTACTGTTTTTGGATTCAGCTTTCTCGTGTAGAATATCTCTAAGGTTAATTTCAAGCCAGGGGTGGTACAACAATGGTTTAGTATAATTAGTCTTGCTCAATTCTGGTGATGTAATCGTGTGTGCCTGATTTCACAAAAACGGATTGCTCAAATTCTTGTAAACATTTCGCATTCTTTACTTCCACGCTGCTAAGGTTGAAAGACCACTTTTCTACTAATGGAGAACCCTAACTCCAAGCAACTGTCAACGGTCCGCAAGAAAAAACATGTAATCATGTTTATCTTCTGCAGTTTTATTCTCATCTGCATATAAAAGTCGTTCAATTTAGTCAAATTATTCACAATAAAATCTGCCCGCAAAATGCATCTCCAGCATCATCGATCATTAAATACTTGGAGGATAACGGCAAGCCCAAATCACTAGTGGAAGAAAAGAAAAAGGGAAGGAATTAGAGATGGAAGCAAATGGGTCTAGTTGCATTACAAAGAGGCGCGATTTGACCTACTTTGTAATCTTGGTACTACAGCCACTCCTAGCTTACTTGTTCATTGGGGTGCTGCCACTTCCAACACGCTGCATACATGCTTTGTAATCTTGGTACTACAGCCACTCCTAGCTTAAGGTTGAGGTATGTATTTTCTGTTCTTAAGTTCTTTTTTTTTTTATATAAATGTAATGGGGATTTGCTCATTTCAACAAGTTTAAAACGAAAGAGACAATTCAGGATTACACATTTTACAATGCCGTAATCATGTAGTTGTCTATCGAATCATATTGACTTGTTCACATGCTACCTGTCTGTCTTGACCAAATTAATGATGAATGATGTCCAATGAAGAGCAATGCGTAAAGAACAAGTTGATGTTGAGGGTGATTCAGGGTGGCTCCTGGTTGTGTCATGCTTCTTTGGAATACGAGTGGTTCTGTTTGCTGTATGCGAAGTACATTAGATAGGGAGTGGATATCACAGCATAAATCAATCACGAGGAACCCCTTTTAAATGGAAGGATTTTGCCTCTGCTTTGTCCATGGAGCACAGAGATTCGTTGGCATAACACTATCTCATCATGCAAGGTTAATTTTTTTGCAATAACTTTGGGATGTATCAAAGCGGTGACCTTTTGAGTCTCCATTTTATGTCATAAAGCAGTAGTCTCCAGTTTAATCCCAACCAGTGAGGATTCTCACACATCTCCGCTCTTAATACCGGGCATACTCTCGCCCGGATTCTATGAACCGCGTGCAATCATCACTATCGAAATTTGTGAGACTCGCTGATCCATGGTTTGTGCATTATTGGTAGGTTTTTTGGACAATACCGAGAACATGGCATTATTGGTATGGCTCAATTTGCCAGCCCTCGTTCAATTATTATTTAGATATTTATTAATAAGTGAGCGAGTAATTTCTCTTTAATTTGCAAGGGGGCAAAGCTTTTTCTTTTTTTGTTTTGTTTTTTGGTCAGGGCAAGGGGGCAAGAAACTACTGAGTGAAAGAAAAAAAAAGAGGAAGAAAAGCTAGAATTCCACCCCACGATACGTATCGAAAGGAAAAGGCGCTTTTTTGTTTTTTGGAAAAGGCGCTTTAATGACCACTAAGTAAAAAAAAAAAAGCGGTCCAAGGCTACTGAGTCAAAAAGAAAAACCAACACATTCTTATAAATCTCTTCACAGTATCCATTAGCACCAATCCTGCCTCCTGTTTCTTCTTGCGTTGCTTTCATATTCACCTGCTTCCTTGAGCTTTGAGTCATGAAACTTGTAAGCATGAGTTTTGCAGAGTTTCAATCAAGCCATTTGCTTCTTGGCATCGCTCTTGCATTGTGCTTTAACCAAGTCTCGTCCACCACCAATGAAACAGACATACTCGCACTGCTCACATTTAAGGCCGGCATAACCAGAGATCCTTTCGGCGTGCTCGACTCATGGAATAATAGCATTGGGTTTTGCCAGTGGTATGGCGTTACGTGTGGCCGGAGGCACCGGAGGGTCACGGTCTTGGACTTATCATCACAAGGACTCTCCGGATCAATCTCTCCTTATATTGGGAATCTCAGCTTCTTAAGGCAAATATGGCTCCACAATAACAGTCTCGATCATGAAATCCCTGCGCAAGTCGGCCAGCTGCACTGCCTTCGCTACTTACAACTAGACAACAATTCATTGGTCGGTGAAATTCCCAAAAACATATCGGGTTGCCCTGACCTTGTTAGCCTCTTGCTTCAAGGCAACCAACTAACTGGCGAGATTCCTGGAGAGCTCGGTTCACTGTCGAAGCTACGGGAGCTTGCGTTGTCTGTTAATAATTTGATTGGGAGTGTGCCTTCCTCTATTGGAAACTTATCTTCATTGGAGATCCTTTTTTTAGCCGGAAACAACTTGGGCGGGAGCATTCCCCGAGCTCTAGGCCACTTGACAAACTTGCAAGGCATTAACCTCGAAAGAAACAGATTGTCAGGTACAATTCCATCTTCGTTACTCAATCTTTCTTCGCTAGCTACATTAATTATTGGAGGCAATCGGATAGTGGGGACTCTTCCTGCAAGCATAGGCCTCAAACTCCTAGTTCTTGAATATCTTAGTGTCTACGAGAACCAACTTGAGGGGCCGATTCCCCCGTCGATATCAAATTGCACAAAACTAGAGGTGCTTCAACTTTCATCGAACAAATTTTCCGGGAAAGTACCTTCTTTTGAAAATTTGCGTAAGCTTCATTGGCTTGTAATCTTTGATAATAAGCTTGGAAGTGGAAAACCTGGGGACTTAAGCTTCCTTTGCTCGTTAACCAACAGCACCGAATTATGGGAATTGACTATTCAGATGAACGAGTTTGGTGGGGTGTTACCTAAATGCATAGGTAATTTATCCGCCGCTCTCACACTATTTTCTGTTAGAGAGAATCAAATATCTGGTGAGATTCCAAAAGAAATTGGGAATTTTGTCAACCTGGAAATATTGTCTATGAGTATCAACCCGCTTTCAGGTGTTATCCCCTCAGATTTGGGGAATCTACGCAATCTAGCGGGATTGCTATTAAGTGATAACAATTTGGGAGGGACTATTCCATCTTTTTGGGGAAATCTAACCAAGTTGATTACAATAGATCTTAATGGGAACAACTTTCATGGGCAAATTCCTTCACATCTATCAAACTGTCGGTCTCTCGATCTGCTTGATCTGTCTCGTAACAATCTCAGTGGTGCCATACCCCCAGAGCTCATAGGTCTCTCATCATTAGCGATCATTTTGGACTTGTCTCGTAACCATCTGACTGGGGTTCTACCGACAGAAGTTGGCAACTTGAGAACTTTGACTGCGTTGGATATCTCGGACAATTTGTTGGTAGGTGAAATCCCAGGAAGTTTAGGTGATTGCATTGGATTGACATCACTAAGGATGGCGGGCAACTTCTTCCATGGGTCCATTCCCCAATCAATCAGATCATTAGGAGGCATTGAAGAACTAGATATTTCACGCAATAATTTGTCAGGTCAAATTCCAGAATTCTTCACGAAATTTCGTTCCTTGAAACTTTTGAATTTGTCTTACAATAAGTTTGAAGGCATGCTACCACGTGAAGGAGTTTTCAAGAATGCTACTGGTACTTCGATTATTGGGAACAATGAGCTTTGCGGCGGACTGCCAGAATTTCACCTCCCCAACTGCATCTCCAAAAGCTCCAAGAGGAGAACCATCAATATAGTGATATTGTCTGTTTCCGTTGTTTTCGGAGTTCTTGGAATAGCTCTTATTCTAGCTTTTATTTATCTTTGTTGGTTGAAGAAGAAAGTAAATGAACCAATTTCAAGTTCGATGGACGATTCACGTCCAAGCGTATCTTATAGAACACTCCTAAACGCAACCAACGGTTTTGCTTCTACGAATTTGATCGGTGTTGGAAGCTTTGGCTCTGTTTATAGGGGGATACTTGAGGACAATGGAACTGTTGTTGCCGTGAAGGTGCTTGATTTAGTCCGTCATGGTGCTCTGAAGAGCTTTATGGTCGAGTGTGAGGCATTAAGGAACATCAAACATCGAAATCTTCTGAAGATACTAACAATTTGCTCGGGTAGTGATTATCAAGGGAATGATTTTAAGGCCTTAGTCTATCAATTCATGGACAATGGAAGCCTAGAACGGTGGCTACACCCAAACGCAACATTATCTCATCATAATGAGCTTCTGGAAAAGTTGAATTTCATTCGCAGGATAAATATTGCTATTGATATTGCTTATGTATTGGATTATCTTCATCACCAGTGCCACATTCCCATTGTTCATTGTGATCTAAAGCCAAGCAATATTCTCTTAGATGCTGAGATGGTCGCACATGTTGGCGACTTTGGATTGGCAAAATTTCTTCTTGGATCATCCCTTGATACTGTAGCTAATCAGATGAGCTCTCTGGGTCTTAGAGGGACAATCGGTTATGCTCCACCAGGTAATCTCTCTACTTTCTATTATAATGATATGAGCTCCACCTTCTTTTGGATGATCAGCACTCCTAATTTAATCTGCACTATGATCAAAATGTGTGACAGAATATGCCATGGGATATGAGGTCTCAAGAGAAGGCGATGCCTATAGTTACGGCATTCTCTTGCTAGAGATGTTCACAGGATTGAGTCCCACCAACGAGAGATTCAGAGACAATTGGACTCTCCATAGTTTTGTCGCGGCAGCTTTGCCTGAACGAGCACTAGAAGTTACGGATCACATTCTACTTCAAGAAAGAGAGAGTTGTCTCGACCCCAACAATCCTCAGCATTGGCGTTCCGAAAGTAATGGCATATTTCAAGAGTGTTTGATTGTGGTATATAATATTGGAGTTGCTTGTTCCAATGAAGTGCCTGGAAGAAGGATGAGCATCAGCGGTGTTGCAAATCAACTGCAAAAGATTAGGGAAAAGCTCTTTGCATTGGGTTTACATGAACAAGATGAACTACCGCAGGTGATATGATAATTTCTTAACCTCTCTCTTGTCCTAAATATTTAGTTTTGCATATGCTAGTGCAAACGGACATGTTAATCTGTAGCAGAATAGAGAATCGATCAGGCATTGTCATTAAAAGGCAATAGTTGATTGTCATTCCTCACCTGTATATGTATCGAGCTTGCATGTGTGCTGCAGTGCAGAGACCTTTTAGTAATATTTGCTAAAATTTGTCTCGAGTTTGAGAACATGGATGAAACCCGACCCAAATCGAAGCGCTGGAAAGTCAGGCCGTTTAAAGATTGTCTGAATTGGACTTTGAAAATGTATAACTGGAGAGAAGCAGTCGTTTCTGTTAGGAGATAATAGTTCATTATCATTCCTCACCTGCACAGATTACTGCACTAGCATATGGCCCATGATGCAGAGTCTTGAGAATTGTTATGATATTTTAGAAGATCACTCTCAAATATTCAGTTCTTTTGTGGGTATGAAGCTCATTTAGACGAATACAAATTAATCAACTATCGACAATTTTCAATTGATATCCATAATCAATCCTTTTCAATGTATGAATAGTTGTTCTCAGAAGTTCATATGACGCAGTAAAGGTGTGCGGAAGTTGATTCACATAAATCCTACATGTCACCTTTTTTATTGAAAATTTATGTTTTTCCCCTTGCAAATCCTAGCTTTTGTCGAGGCTTTCTAACTCAGGGAAGTGCTTGGTTTCTTTCTACAGCTTCACTAGGAATCGCTATGTATCGCGGAAGCTGTGCGAGGCAGTTCAAGATGAGTGATGTTGCAGTCAAGCCAAGTATCTCTTTCAGCTTCAACCTACATAAGCAAATGCTCTGTTTGGGAACAAAAAAAAATGACAGTTCGGAGAAGAAAAGACTTTTAGATTCAGCTTCCTCGTATGCATTAAATTGAGAAACAGATCTGGACGATTGATATGTGAGGCAGGAACTTTGCAATAATGTTTTAGCATAACTAGTCTATCCCAATTCTGATCATGCAACTTGTGCTGTTTGTGTTTTTTCTGATGGGGAATGGATCTACAGAGCTGCTATTTCCAAACTATGCCACTTTGATTACTCTTCTTTTGCCAAAATTTTTCCTTCTCTCGTTCATTCATTTCTTATCACGATAGAACTTGTTTGATGAATACAAAATGTGTTGCCAGTGTCTAATAAATATTCTAGCCAAACAGAAATCACCGAAACATATGAGCGTGTCCTCATCGTCTTAAGACCAGAACAAACTTTAGGCGTTTCATTATGACGATGGAAATAATTTGAAGCATGTGATATCAATAGCAATGATCTCACTCTCTGAAGAGAAGACTCATATTCTTCGTCTTGTCACTTGTCACATTCCCCGTTCCTTACCCAACCCTCCAAGTTTCCAATGACCAAAACTCCATAAACATCGGCATCCAAGTTGAGCTGGGATGGTTGGCACATACCTGAACACAGCTCGGATGGGCGCGGCGACCCAGACCAAAATTTACCTTGAAAATTCATCTGTAGCTTTTGAAAGAGCTTTGATAACTGGAAGAGAATTCTCGAAACGAGTTGAAGCATTAAAAAACTAGTTTTCAAGTTAAAACCATAACCCGTGAGGCAGGAGCTTAGCAAACCAACTTCGAGCTAGCTTTTGTTTTGAAAGCCTCATCATGAAGTTTTATGTATCTTAGGATGAGGTCATTGCACTTTGATTTTAACCCCCCGGTATGTTGAATTTTCAACATTTGCAATTAATGTGTTTTGATCTGAGTTCAGCAAATTTTTGTAGAAAATATAGACATGACCGGCATGTGTCATAGAGTCTAAGTGGATACCCCATGTTAATTTTCTTTTCACTTTGAGCTGACTTGGACTGAACGCTAATGTCGGGTGATTGTCATATAAGCAATTTATCAAGAAATTATTCAAATTTTAATGAGAGTACGTTAACTGCAAAGGAATATTAATTTAGCTTATACAATTAACGGATTTAGGTCCACTAATATGCATGACTAATTGTAAAATCTATTGAAGTTTACTGACTAAAAAATGGAATTTACTCTTCATAAGTGGACACACTCAAATGGGGTCCATCCTTGCAAGTGAAGCCGGATAGATTGCAATCGTTAATTATGTGAGCCCACACATGCGAGTCTCACTCAATCAACGGTTATAATTGCGCTCCGGTCCTATGAATTTCTCCTCGTACACAATACATGCAAAGATAAGACCATATGCCTGATTCTGACCTCTGGTGACTCCTCAAAACTGCAAACTTTGACGTTGTTGCCATTCCTCACCAATCTAACTCAAACGGAGTTCTTTTCTCCTGCTTCTCTCGGTCACCCTCGCGCCTTCCGTTCCCCAAGTTCTAGGCTTCTAGCTCATAAATATTGCGGTGCGGTTGGATCTGAGTGTGCCCTTTTTCTTTGCCCCAATTGAAAGGTCTATACATACGGAAGTTCTCCGTTTTGTTTCCGTTGACGTTTCTTGATTTGGTAACGAAGGCATTGGGTTTTTGAATTGGGTCGGAAATCAGTTTTTTTTTTCTTTTTCTTTGTAAATCAGGCGAAGAAGAAGGAGAAAGTTCGTGAATTGTCGACGTGGACACCGGCCGGCCTATGTGGCACGGTCGGCACTGACATGGACAATTTTTAATAATATTTTAATGTTTTTTTAAAATTTATTTTTTAATTTTCCTTTTTTCTCGTTTCTTTCTTCTTCTTCTTCTTTTTTTTTTTTCCGTCCCTTCCTTCTTCCTCTAGCTGGTCTAGGGCCAGCAAGGTCGACCTCGCTGGCCACTAGCGAGTCTCGCCCTCACCAGAGGCCGCGAGGTCATGACCTTCAACTTGGCAGCCTCTGGCAAGAGCTCAAGCCTCGCCAGTCCAGCGCGAGGCCACCCTTGCGGCCATCTAGCATGGGCGAGCCTCGCCACTAGCAAGCAAGGTCGACCTCACCGGCCCCGGCCTCTGGCTAGTTGTTAAGGTCCGGCGACCGGCTGGAGGAAGAAGGAAGGGAAGAAAAAAAAAAAAAAAAAGAAAAGAAAAGAAAAATAATTTTAAAAATATTATTAAAAGTTATCTATGTCAGTCAGCTAATCGTGCCTATGCTAACAACCGTGCCACGTAGGCCGGCTGGCGTCATAGTCAGCAATATGTGATCAAAATTAATCGAAATGACTGAATTGGTATTACGTCAAAAGGTTTATGATTAAATTGATATAAATATAATAAATTTAAAACTTTTCAGGCACTTTGCCCCTACTCATCGGTCTTCTGTTTATTTTCCAAAGTGGGGGGACTTTGGGTTTTGGGGGCATTGATTGACTTGAAGTCAACATCTGGAAAGCCATCTAGATGGATCCATCATCCATCCCTTAATACACGCACTTGTATGGACACATGTCAAAGGGAACCATCAGTGACCGACTTCAACACGGAGAAAGAATTCCATGTTCAGAGTCTAACTCCTATTTGGCCTGCGTTGGACTTTCCCTGTTTTTAGTTTCTTGACCAACTTCAATCAGGAAAGTAGATTCCATATATTTTAAGACAGTATTGCACCCAATGAAAATCCAAGTAAGGACTCCCATTCTTATCTTGATTCCAACGCGGTGACAATCTTTATTCTTGATCGTGACTTCGACGCGGATATAATTTTCATATTTTTCCGCATTCTTTATACGGATCGGATTTTATTTACCAGTTCTGTCACGCCCAGAACCCCATCGAGCACGCGACATCCCTCTTTTCGGTCGAATTAGTGTGACATCCCAGGAAATGTCGCCGGCCTAAACGAACCCATCAGAGTTTAATCGCGGCGGAAACATCAAACACCCAAACAATAATTTACCTGGGGTACTAGGGAGAATAAATTGCCAAACCACCAAATCTTATACTATACCTCGAATTAAGCACAATATCCATTTACAACATAAATGTATGCTACAACCGCCAATTTACAAACCACAAAGCAAAATATGCACATTGGACTACTAAACTGCAAACCATCGTTATCACAAAAGATTAGTAGCCTGGGTAATGCTACACCAAAATGGGACACTTCCAAACTCTTCCTCCGCTCCAAAACTAATCCCTACGCCCTCTAGATGGCGTCCACTCTGACTCACTCTTTTCGGAATCCTCATCCGAATCCTCATCAGGCACGTGCTCATCCGTCGACTCCGAATCGGCCTCCATCTCGATCGAGAATTCTACCACATCATGATCAGAGTGCATAACAATCCCAAAACGCTGCGACGGCAGCGGAAGGTTCATGGCTCGAGCGGGTGCTCTGAAATGGTTTGGTTGAAACAACCATGAGACACTTCTCAATAAGTTCACAACCTAAACCTTACCTAGGCTACCACGTATTCCAGACAAGTCCAGACACCGAATCAAGCAATACACAAACAACGTCCACACAATCGTACTTACCGGATTCTCAATACACGCAACCTGCACGTTAGTCTTACAATAGCACTATTCCACTCACATGCATGTTCTAATGACATTTCATGCATTTGTTTCCGTTTCATCACATCTTTTTCCACAACTCTCGCCAGTGACTCGCGTTACAGTACACGCCTCAAGTCCACTGCGACCAACTTATCACAACAC